GGGGCACGTTGTGACGCATTTTCCTTCGCGAACCGAGTGCATATTCAATCAGCGAAACAAAGAGACGGACAGATGCGTAGGCAGAACAGAATGATTGATTGACCGAATCAGTGCCTGAGAAACAGAAGATAAGTTTTTGCTTCTAAGTTGAGCTTCAATAGACAGCAGCGCAACAGTTATTGCCATCTCCCATGAGTAAGCCAGGGCACGTGACCGGGTTACTAGCTTCACCCCACTGTATTAGCATCCGACGACAACGGTGGGAAGTAACTCTCCGGTCCGCAGTCTGAGCACCGTGTTAGGGCTGTGGTCGGGACGTGAAATTCCGAACATTCTTCCTTCTGTGACAAAAAGGTGGCGCCCTTCGACTTTTGTGACTGACCAAATGACCAGGTGTCACAGCCATACAACATCGCTGGCAGGATAATAGAATCGGAGAGGTGGGACTGGGTATCTCCAATGATGTTGCCGACGGGGCCGTCTTCAATAGAGTGAAAGACCCTCTTCCTCCGTTGAATCTCTTCAGCCTGATCATGCCACCTGTTGATCTCTTTGCCCAGGAAAATGTCATTATCGACTTCATCGATCTTTTCGTCGTGTAATATTTCGCCAGGGCATCTGATCGCAATATCTTGATCTCTGACCGACGGGTGGACATTCCGATTCATGTACTGTTTCTCTCGATCTTATGCAGCATGTCTTGTCCGTAGAGTTTCTAGCAAACAACAACACATCATCAACGAACCTTGGGTGGATGAGCTGTTTGCCATTCATGTCAATTCTATCCTTCCAGGTCAGCTTCTGGAATACCTTTTCCAAACAAGCAGCGAAGAGTTTGTGGCAGATTGTATCCCTTGTTCATACCTTTCTCTACAGGAATCCGGAGGAAGATGTCGAACATCGCGATGTTTTCGAGGTAACCAGAGTTCGCTTTTTTTAGCGGGTTCATGTGACGGGTTCAAGAAGTACAGTAGGCGAGTGTTATGCACAGACGAAGTTGGAATTCCTTATCGCCTTCGAGGATTTAAGTTAGGGTAAAGATGTAATTTACTGTGATGTTGATTCTTCAGAATCCTACCTGGTCATTTGACTGCAGATCAGCCAGATCTGTGCTGAGAGTTTGTTTCTTATGATCTAAGTGAACAGCTTGTAGAATTGCGATAGCAGGCAAATTGGACGATAGTTCCTCAGATTTTCCTTCTCGCCATTCTTGAACAACACGATTATTCCAGAGAGTATTTTTCCGTTTCCAG